GATAGTTCTGTCAGTTCTGTGTGTGTATGGGGGGATAGTTCTGTCATCTCAGTGTGCTGTATGGGGGGATAGTTCTGTTAGTTCAGTGTGCTGTATGGGGGGATAGTTCTGTCAGTTCTGTGTGCTGTATGGGGGGATAGTTCTGTCATCTTAGTGTGCTGTATGGGGGGATAGTTCTGTTAGTTCTGTGTACTGTATGGGGGGATAGTTCTGCCATCTAGGTGTGCTGTATGGGGGGATAGTTCTGTCATCTCAGTGTGCTGTATGGGGGGATAGTTCTGTTAGTTCAGTGTGCTGTATGGGGGGATAGTTCTGTCAGTTCTGTGTGCTGTATGGGGGGATAGTTCTGTCATCTTAGTGTGCTGTATGGGGGGATAGTTCTGTTAGTTCTGTGTACTGTATGGGGGGATAGTTCTGCCATCTAGGTGTGCTGTATGGGGGGATAGTTCTGTCATCTCAGTGTGCTGTATGGGGGGGATAGTTCTGTTAGTTCAGTGTGCTGTATTGGGTGATTTTCTCAGCCCATGAGATGTGAAATGAGCAAAATGATGAGTTTCTTCCTCGTGTTGTCTTGTAGTGTCCAGCCTGCCTGGCGCAGGCATGATTCCTCGCTTACGAGACGGACCGTCACCCCCTGGAAGTGTCACCAGCGAAGATTTCTCCGTGAGTCACCTTGATGTGTCTGATTTTTTTTCGTAAAATGTTTGTTTTTTTTGCTCAATTTTTGTCCAAAGTTTGTCAAAAATTATTTGGTTTGATGGTCGGATTCCACAAAGGAGAATGTGTGGACCCTGTCTCTAGAGAAATACTTTGGTCTTTTCATGACAAGGATGTTTCTGGCTAATGTAGGGTTTTTGGTGGGGTTTTTTTTTTTTTTCGTTTTTTGTTGTTTTTTAAAGACAGAATTAATGAAAATAGATGAATACAAGACAAATATTTCCACCAATATTTAATCTATCTTTCCAAACGGTCCAGCTATTTCTGCAACAAGCAATGGTTTACCAGACAAACAATGACTGTTATGGATCTTCTGCACCTTTTTTACTTGACAAGATGAGGTTTTTAGAATCGTTCATGGATATGTTCTACCTCTGTATTGATGGTGGTCTCGCTCCTGGTCATCCACCTTCTCTTTACCCCCCACCCCCGGATGCCATAGCTATTTCCTTGGCTGCGATCATAACTTAATTTTCTTGTTGTTATATCGGTACTGTATTGATGGATGGAACGGGATAAATCTCACGTGTGAACTGTCATTGTTTACGTCAGTGTTGATGTGGGTGTTACTGTCATTGTTTACGTCAGTGTTGATGTGGGTGTTACTGTCATTGTTTACGTCAGTGTTGATGTGGGTGTTACTGTCAGTGTTTACGTCAGTGTTGATGTGGGTGTTACTGTCAT